ACAGTTTGTATTCCTAGCTAACTGATGTCTAATTTGATATACATTTTTATTGATATATTTTTATGGAATTTCAAACATTAATGGGAAATTAGTAGTACTGAACAATTTTATCAACTTACGAACTCCTGTGGAATGGTATTACTTGCGTGGTTTTATGAAAAAGTTTGTTCTGGATCAAATTTACCTTCATGTTTTTAATTTGAGACGAAAGTTCCTTGTACATGGGGTTACCATCTCTGAATCGGATACAAATATGCATCTTTCGTGTAAATTTCAGCGATGAACATAAGCTCATTAGTACACATTGGCAAATTCAACGGTTTGGATAATCTCGGATTCATACAGTTTGGTCTGGTGATTCTACTCGTCGTATCAGTATTGGTTATGTGTCAAATATAATGAGCCAACATCGATACCGGGGTATATGTTTTCTCTTAAAAAACGTCAGTTGTACTCTTTCATAACACTTTTTGTGTATTGTAAAGTATCTTATAAACAAATGAGTTATTGATTTAAGAGGCGCATTATCACCGGTATCACGATTCCGTGTCAGAATGGTACTTTAGGGCAATGCTTCTAAGGCGACTTTCGCATGCTGTTGCGAGAAAACGAAAATTCTGATTCCTCCATGTTAAATGCGGTAAAGCAACAAATGATTATTGTATGAAGAATGTTGTCGATAAGCAAGAGAAGCTTACTCTTCCGGAACACTTGGTCTTATTCTCCTTGTACTTTTACAAGAACCTTCATGTGTATCTTACTTTTAGTTTGATATTTTCCCTTATTTTGTTATGCAATTTAATGTATGTGCTGAATGGAAGCGCCGTTATGTTCCTGTAAGCCTCATTATGAGTGCGTAATTGAAGCTGAACTTATAGTGTTTCTGCATTGAAGCTGAAATTTACTGCCGAAAGCTGCCAACTGCACAACTTGTCCTGTTACAGTGTACAGGAGTGTATTGACAACGGGGGAATCAGTCGTTACATTATCAGAATGCTGAACGTTCAGCCGGGAGTAGTAAATAAATATTTTTTAAAGATCCTGTTATGTCTCCACAAGGGGACGGAACCCAAAGCCTTCCAACGATCCACAAATTGAGCCACCTTTTATAATTATTGTTGAGGGCAGCTGGTACCATTTTAACACCATACCTACATGACAGTCTTTGGAAAAATCATGAAATGAAAACGACCTGATATTGACCATGTATTGGATATAAGCAGCGGCGTCGTTATCAAATATTGTGTCATTAGCCTTATTAAATAAACGTAGTTACTCATGATGCAAAACAATCAATGAACTGCGACGCCAAACAAATATAATTTGTCGCAATATAGAGTCGGTCGACAAAAGAGATTGCAAAAGTATCCAAACCTAATATGGTAAATTGGCTTCCATTTTTTTTATCTTAATAAAACCGGGGTACTGCTCGTTATTGGATGTTTAATGTCGATAATCAATATTGGAAATTACTTTTTCTTGCCTAGCATATCGTTTGCTTTAAGTTGACATTACAACTAGGTGTTAATAGATTCAACAATGACATTTCCTTCGATTGGTAATTGTTCCCTGGAGTATGTGCGCATTGGTACTGGTGACTTGATCAATTGTGGTTGCACGTGAAGCAAACATACAAAGTGTCTTTGTGACGTGTTGAACAGATGGAAATGTCTGGTATACTAATTTTAAAACCTAAGCCGGAAAATAAAGTAAAGTGAAACTGAAACAATATTGCGAAATGTTTAACGATCTGTAATATATGTGACATTTGTGGAATTTATATAATAACAACAATCTCCACTTTGTTAATGTTTACCACTCCTTCGTATTTGACCATTATCGATTCGACATCTGGATTCTATCATATGCTGCGGTAAACCCGATATATCATACAGACGCACCACATGTGGGGTCCAGTGGGAACGTAGTACAATAACGGTGGTCTATCATGCCAATCCCATGTCAATTCTAGTTATGATTTAGGACTATACGTGTGCGGTAATCACTCGTCATTATTCAGTGTGGAGGTATACATCCATTGATCAGTTCACCTGCTACTGGTAGAATACAACTGCAACACTCGATGAAACTTTTCCTGTTGTCTTTGTGTATGTTGACTATCTGTTGTTTCCTTACATTTATTATGCATGTAGGCATTTGACAAAGACATGGATTTTACCTAATATAAAATTAGAATATGGGTAATTTAACACAAATGTGATATAAAGCGAGTTGATGTAAACATGATTTTTTAACGGTAATATCATTTTTGCGGTTTTTGTGCTAAATACATTGTGTTTGTCTACAATTGCGCTAATTCTTTAGTCGATGATATAGCCTTAATTGCGAAGTTGCCCTTGCGATTATTTTTTCGAAACTGTTGATGGGTTAAACTTTGATTACGCCAAAACCGGAACGTTTGCAGTATTCGCAAAACTATTACTGTGTACAGTTGGTAATGACAACTGTTTGTAATAATGGTGCAAGGCGAACAGAACAACATAAACGGTAGTACGGATGAAAGTCTAACATCTGTAGACAACGTAAGCAGCAATGTTGTAGTCTGTATCATAAGGATGAAAGTCTAACATCTGTAGACAACGTAAGCAGCAATGTTGTAGTCTGTATCATAAGGATGAAAGTCAAACATCTGTAGACAACGTAAGCAGCAATGTTGTAGTCTGTATCATAAGGATGAAAGTCTAACATCTTTAGACAATGTAGGCAGCAATGTTGTAGTCTGTATCATAAGGATGAAAGTCTAACATCTGTAGACAACGTAAGCAGCAATGTTGTAGTCTGTATCATAAGGATGAAAGTCAAACATCTGTAGACAACGTAAGCAGCAATGTTGTAGTCTGTATCATAAGGATGAAAGTCTAAGTCATCTGTAGACAAGACAACGTAAGCAGCAATGTTGTAGTCTGTATCATAAGGATGAAAGTCAAACATCTGTAGACAACGTAAGCAGCAATGTTGTAGTCTGTATCATAAGGATGAAAGTCTAACATCTGTAGACAACGTAAGCAGCAATGTTGTAGTCTGTATCATAAGGATGAAAGTCTAACATCTGTAGACAACGTAAGCAGCAATGTTGTAGTCTGTATCATAAGGATGAAAGTCAACGTAACATCTGTATCATAAGACAACGTAAGCAGCAATGTTGTAGTCTGTATCATAAGGATGAAAGTCAAACATCTGTAGACAACGTAAGCAGCAATGTTGTAGTCTGTATCATAAGGATGAAAGTCTAACATCTGTAGACAACGTAAGCAGCAATGTTGTAGTCTGTATCATAAGGATGAAAGTTTAATATCTGTAGACAACGTAAGCAGCAATGTTGTAGTCTGTATCATAAGGATGAAAGTCTAACATCTGTAGACAACGTAGGCAGCAATGTTGTAGTCTGTATCATAAGGATGAAAGTTTAATATCTGTAGACAACGTAAGCAGCAATGTTGTAGTCTGTATCATAAGGATGAAAGTCTAACATCTGTAGACAACGTAGGCAGCAATGTTGTAGTCTGTATCATAAGGATGAAAGTCTAACATCTGTAGACAATGTAGGCAGCAATGTTGTAGTCTGTATCATAAGGATGAAAGTCAAACATCTGTAGACAACGTAAGCAGCAATGTTGTAGTCTGTATCATAAGGATGAAAGTCTAACATCTGTAGACAACGTAGGCAGCAATGTTGTAGTCTGTATCATAAGGATGAAAGTCTAACATCTGTAGACAATGTTAGCAGCAATGTTGTAGTCTGTATCATAAGGATGAAAGTCTAACATCTGTAGACAACGTAAGCAGCAATGTTGTAGTCTGTATCATAAGGATGAAAGTTTAATATCTGTAGACAACGTAAGCAGCAATGTTGTAGTCTGTATCATAAGGATGAAAGTCTAACATCTTTAGACAATGTAGGCAGCAATGTTGTAGTCTGTATCATAAGGATGAAAGTCTAACATCTGTAGACAAAGTTAGCAGCAATGTTGTAGTCTGTATCATAAGGATGAAAGTCTAACATCTGTAGACAATGTAAGCAGCAATGTTGTAGTCTGTATCATAAGGATGAAAGTTTAATATCTTTAGACAATGTAGGCAGCAATGTTGTAGTCTGTATCATAAGGATGAAAGTCTAACATCTTTAGACAATGTAGGCAGCAATGTTGTAGTCTGTATCATAAGGATGAAAGTCTAACATCTGTAGACAACGTAAGCAGCAATGTTGTAGTCTGTATCATAAGGATGAAAGTCTAACATCTGTAGACAACGTAAGCAGCAATGTTGTAGTCTGTATCATAAGGATGAAAGTCTAACATCTGTAGACAACGTAGGCAGCAATGTTGGAGTCTGTATCATAAGGATGAAAGTCTAACATCTGTAGACAACGTAGGCAGCAATGTTGGAGTCTGTATCATAAGGATGAAAGTCTAACATCTGTAGACAACGTAAGCAGCAATGTTGTAGTCTGTATCATAAGGATGAAAATTTAATATCTGTAGACAAAGTTTGCAGCAATGTTGGAGTCTGTATCATAAGGATGAAAGTCTAACATCTATAGACAAAGTTAGCAGCAATGTTACAGTCAGCATCATAAGTTTGCTGTGAGACTTTGACATTAATAACATTTTTAGAATGGATTTCTGATGAGATCAGTGGTGAAGTGATGGGAGAAAAGAACAAAAATATTAAGATATCTGTCGTTGTTTCGAACCAAGTTAGCCGCAGCGCTAGACAAGAAAAATATGAGGTTGTTCAAAACACAGGCCACGAACCAGACATTGTAATGTAAATATCCGACTGCACAAACGTGAGTGATACTATATTGATAGAATTGTTTGTTGGTAAGAGTTGCATGTGTCAGCAGAAAAACACAAGATCAATAGTAAAGATGCATTAGAAGGAAGAGAGAGACCATGCCACTTTTTTCCCCACATTCTGTACATGCAATAGTCCATGTTAAAGTATATAACAGAAAACAAATGCATTTGTATTTACAGTGACGAAGGGAGAAATCAACTTCCACAATGCTGCAAAAGAGAATGATTTACCAGCCATAGAAAAACTACTTACAGACAGGGTCGATATCAACTGTAAAAACAATGTAAGTTTGTAAGTTTTACACGGAAATTGATCTATTTGACATTATCCAAGTTTTGATTGTTACATCTGACAAAATTATTAGTCAATTTATTCCTCGTTGGTAACCATCTGCTATTTAATCAATAACGGACAATACTTTAAACTTGATTTTTTTTTTCAGTTTTTCGTTTGAAAAAAAAAGAAAAATATTTTGTTTAAAATATTATGATAAGATTAATTCAAGATATAACATTTTTCAAAAATTACTTAATCAGTAAACGCAAGTTATTGTTTGCTTAATCGTCTCTTATCAAAACATATCAAAATTGAGTAACTTGATAAAAAGTATGCTAAAATTGTTATGGTTTGGTACAAGATGTTATGAAGCAAGCCAGAAAGTTTAAATGATTGCTCGCCAAGGCTCGCAGAAATGAAAACTTCTAAGACTAGTTTCATAACCTCTCATGTGTAATGAAAATAATAATTTATTTAAAAATCTTGCGTATCTTCAATATATGACAACAAGTCTATCGTTTAATGTCTCGCATCAACACACACTTCTAAAAAAGTCACACAAATATAGCTTTCCTATCACTGGAAAGAAACTGAAGGCACGTTTTACATTCATTAATACTATCTGTATTCCCTTTGCTGCACTTAGGATACATCGTATCTGGCTTTTCATCGTAAACTCAATTGTTTCTTCAGCTCGATAGAACAGCTCTTCATTGGGCTGCTGCCAATGGTAATACAAGTATAATAGAGAAATTGATTGAAGGAGGAGCGGATTTAGAGGCCAAGGACAAGGTAACGTCGCCTAGAGATCTACTTATTATTTCTATATTTCCATATCTGTGGGAAAGCGTTAAGGCGAGAACCATCAATAATTTATATCTTCAAATCTGTTTTGGCCCGGTGCTGTGTGGCCTTCAATACAATATCAAATGACAAATGCAAGAATAATCACGGGCTAGAGCTACAAAGTTTTTTATTTCTATTTTCAATATGCCACTGACTTAAAATTTGATAGAGTGTGTGATTGATTATATTACATAGAAAGGATACGATTCCTTAAAGTTATTAAGAAATTTTCTCTATACTCAAATTATCTTTCATATATTCAAATATTTTATCTTTAATTACAATTCACAGTATCCATGGTACCCATAAGTAATTTTTTTATTGAATTATGGTCTTTCGTCATGCTACTACATAATTCAGTGCGTAACATTTTCTCTCGCCAGAAATATCAAATACATGCTATATGTATGGGTTCTAATAACGCAACTTTCATCCTTTTATTTATTACTTTCTTCTGTACATTTATGTGTACGTATGCTTGGCTACGGATCACGATGTATGATTCGTTGTCGATAGGTTATTTGGTAGCGACTTCTGTTTAAGTAATGTACCGGTATTTGATGATTCACTGACGACTACTTTTAGTTTTTCGACAACCGATAATACTGCATCTCCATCTGATATATTCGTTATCGCCTGTTTAGTTAATTTTGACCACCGATTCTAATAAATTCTTCTGTGATAATTCGGTGCAAACGCTTGTACATGATTCGTCGACTTTTAAGGATGTTTCAACCAAAATTAACTAAATGGCTTGACTATTATTAACTAGATATCTACTACAGATAATACCATATCAGCTATTGTTACCCATGTCTTAACTATAGATATAGGTTTATCGGCTATTGTTACCCATGTCTTAACTATAGATATAGGTTTATCAGCTATTGTCACCCATGTCTTAACTATAGATATAGGTTTATCAACTATTGTCACCCATGTCTTAACTATAGATATAGGTTTATCAGCTATTGTTACCCATGTCTTAACTATAGATATAGGTTTATCAGCTATTGTTACCCATGTCTTAACTATAGATAAAGGTTTATCAGTTATTGTTACCCATGTCTTAACTATAGATATAGGTTTATCAGCTATTTTACCCATGTCTTAACTATAGATATAGGTTTATCAGCTATTGTCACCCATGTCTTAACTATATATATAGGTTTATCAGCTATTTTTACCCATGTCTTAACTATAGATATAGGTTTATCAGCTATTGTTACCCATGTCTTAACTATAGATATAGGTTTATCAGCTATTGTCACCCATGTCTTAACTATAGATATAGGTTTATCAGCTATTTTTACCCATGTCAGCTATTTTTACCCATGTCTTAACTATAGATATAGGTTTATCAGCTATTGTTACCCATGTCTTAACTATAGATATAGGTTTATCAGCTATTGTTACCCATGTCTTAACAATAGATATAGGTTTATCAGCTATTGTTACCCATGTCTTAACTATAGATATAGGTTTATCAGCTATTGTCATCCGATGTCTTGACGACATATCAAGGTTCATCGGCTATTATTACGCTTATGTCGATTGTGGAGTATGTCGTATCGACTATTGTTACCTATATCTCGACTATTGATTACTGTTACCTATATTTCAACTACAAATAATTTTTAGTGCATATAGTTATTGTTTCTGATAAGTCGACTACAGATCATTTCTCTGCATCGATTGATACCCTTAAGTCGACCACAGATCCTGCTGTGTTATTTTTTATGTACACATAATATAGCAAATTAATGTTAACATATCTTATAATACTGGTTATTGATCACAATTGCAGACTTTCTTTGGTCACATTTAAAGTTTCAACAATTAAGTAAAACTGACAAGTCCTAGAAAGACAGAACGGCTGTAAGATGCACTTCGACTAATCATTTGGTTCTAACATGTCTAATTATCAATTTGTATTGAAAGGTTGTATTCACTTGTGTCTTTGGTATAGAATTAGTGTTCGGAAGGATGATATTTGTTTACAGGTTAAATCCACTCCTAAAATTGCCAAATCGTTATTCGTTTTTTTTCAGTATGGCATGCGACCAGTTTTATGGTCAGCCTGGTTTGGTCATCTTGATGCTCTTAAACTACTCATTAACTCTGGTGCTACTGCTAAGTGTTCAAACAAGGTGAGTTACATCTATTTTCAATGACGTATTATGTCAAAGATTAATATTATCATCAGTGTTGAACATTTTTGTTTTGGAAACTCAACACTGTCACATTTGTGTGCATTTTAAACATATGAAATAGAAATAAGTTATTTAAATGAAGCTCAATAACATAAGAAATTGCTACATGTAGGGATTTATAAAACATTTTTAATGTTCTACCGTTTAATAGTCCTGAAGATATTTTTGTATAATGCATTGATTCAATTTGTTCCGTGGTAAATCTTAAATATATGTACTGACGATTGGTCAGGTGGCGCAGCGATAACGCACTTGCCTATCACCTAGCAGTCCGGGGTTCGATTCCTTTAAAGTTAAAATTGTAATGGTTCACCTGCCTTACCACGTGGGTTTTCCCCGGGTATTCAGGTTTCCTCCCACATTGGGACCCCTCAAGCTTCCATCCGAGTCCACAATAGTGATAAATATGAGGTGAAAAACTTGCTTCGCAATTTTGTAAAATAAATATCAATTGATTATTATATTATTATTATGCCTAACCAATCTGAGATATATATTTAACCATTTTTGTATGTCCGCTCGTCGGTCATTCCTGTTACTTCAAAGTCTAAGTAAGAAAACTTGCTATTACATACAGACATATCCTCGACAATGGAATTTATTTTCCTGTTCACTCTCTCTCATCGATAAAGCACAAGTAACTATTGGTCTTATTCACCTTGTACTTTTTCAGGAGTCTCAGTGTAAATCTTTCTTTTGTTCATATTTTGTCCGAGACTTGTTGAAGTTGAATTTTGATTAAAATGACATGTTGATATTTTCTTGTGTTTGTGTTTCAGCAAGGGATGTGTTTACTCCATTGTGCTTCACAGAACAATAATGTCAATGTTATAAACTTTGTGCTGGAATCTCTCGAGAATGTAAACGTCAATGAGATGGAAAAGGTAGTACGTATACAAACAGTGTGGAAACGTTTTACATCCACTCATAGTATGTCAAGGTAGTATTACACAATAGGCTAAGGTAACATGATTGTAAGCAATAACAGTGTATCAATGTAATTGAATATCGATTGTAATTGTGTAATATAGTATTGTGGTGGTCTGTTGTTTCCGTTATACAATAAAGAAATAAGACACTTACATTTTATGTTTTAGGTCGGTCTACTTCTAGTGTATATGAAATGTTAAGTGCTTTGTAAAACTTAAGAGTGTCGATCACGAAGGAGTATTACATTTACGTGTTGATGAAATAATATAGAGCTGCTAAACTTATCTTTGTGTGTGCTTTATTGTATTTACATTTCTCTGATTAGGTCTATATTGATTTTACAAGAAAAATACACAAATATTGATTAATCGATGCTTACTTTTGAATATACACTATTCAGCAAATCGTTTTACCATGTCAAGGATATTGTTCTCGGAGTACTTTCGACAATGTCTAAGTCGATATATTTGATATGATTGTGTAACGTGTTACAGTTTTGTACGGCGGTAGAAGTTGTATCTAAACGAATTAAACATCACAGTTTTCTCGTATAATATCGATGGTTGTCCATGGTATGGAATAAATGGCTTAACTCGGGTCTTTGGGGGCATAAAAATAAATTCACTGGGGAGAACGTTTCTACAAACACAAGTAATATGGCGGTATAAATAAATTAGGGATAATGAATTTAGATAGATAAAGGTTTTAGACTCTTATGCTGAAAGCTGTGACTTAAGTAATATTTACTGTACACTGTACAACTCTATGTTGAAACAGCTTAGTGTAATCGTTAGTTCAAAGCGTTCATGATATTTATCACGTTAACCTTTTTTAGACTTTTGAAATTTCAAATGTTTATATCCGAAGGGAGAACGAACAGCACTACATCTCGCCGCGGAGGCAGGCCATTTAGAGACAGTGATGCGGTTAATAGACATGCAAGCCGATGTCAACAAACGTGATAAGGTAAAGATATCAAATACTCGTAGTAAGTTTTTTTTATCTATATCTAAATGGTTAAACACAAATTTCTTATTTGAAATCAGATTAGTATTTTATCTATATTTAGCATATATGAGACATTGTAGCTGTAAGTAAAACGTATGTTAGAATTAACAGATCTATATCTACATTTGGAGACATTATGTTTCCCGTTGAGGCTGAAGAAGAAGCATAAAGACTGCTAATAACTAAGTTATATCTTTTGCTGTATCAGCATTTCTTGATTTCAAAGTGCTGTCTATATATCAGTCTGGCTGCTACGTAATATCAACTCTGGTCTATAAAATCATCGTTTAGAAGTCGGATGAAGCCATTAGTGGTGAAATGTCTATCACATATATCCTTACATTAAGTGCCATAGTTTTGCAAATAGTAGCAATTATGACGCCTTTATGACGACGAAAAATAATATCGATAACTCGGAATGGTATTCGGGTTCTTGATATACATTTCATGTCTTTCTTTCAATGTTTGACAAGAAATCAAATATATCCTTAGCATCAAGTATATAAAGGATAATTAAAAAGTGGAAATTTTATAAAAAAAATTATAAACGCCTCTAAAAAAAGATAATTTGAAGTTACATCATCTTATTGATATCGCAGCTAATAGAAAGATATGATTGATGTTATGATATAGTCTTCGTGACGTTTATTTATAGATAATTTCATGTGATGCATTTCTCCTTCTTCTCAATTCGTTCCTTTTGCCATTGATACACTAACAGGCTGGTGAGACAGCTCTACACTTGGCAGCCCGTCACGGTCACGTCGAGGTTATTAAACGTTTGCTCATGGTGGGGGTTGAAATCAACGACAGAGATGTGGTAAGTAGTGTATTTCAATAGAGATGAGTGTGTTCCATTTCAATAGAAACAGGATGTGTTCCATTTCAACAGAGAAAAGATGTGTTCCATTTATTATAATATGTCTCGAAAGACATGTACACAATAACTTATAAATATGGTGTCTTAGTGATGTCATTCGAAATATTATATTTCTTTGTACGATATAATGCTGGGCGTATCTGATGCTCGTTAGTTTGCTTGTTGGTTCCGTTATTGTATACCTTCTCCTCGTTTGAAAATGTGACATAAGTTACTTGGAGTGATCAAGGTTTTCATGGTGGGTGTCGTGGATGAATTAGAAGACGTTTATTCTTCTGGAACATTATGTCTTATTCTTTATGTACTTTTTTTCAGGAGTCTCCGTGTAAATTTTTCTTTTGTTCATATTTTGTCCCAGTTTTATTGAATTTGAGTTTGGATTATGATGAAGTTGACATGTAGGTATTTTCTTGTGTTTTTTGTATCATATAATATAACATGCCCCACTTGTATAAAACATCTCAACTTGAGATTTCCTCAAGCCCAGATTTTCCTCAGCTAATATCTCCTTGAAAATATCTTGTATGAAAATTCCTCAAGGATTTTCAGGACATCCTAGCCGAGAACTTCCTCCTGCTCCTTGAGAAAAATTTATACAAGCCGTTTTTGAGGAGATATCAGCTGAGGAAAATCTCGACTTGAGGAAATCTCAAGTTGAGATGTTTTATACAAGTGGGGCCAGGTCTCGGGCGACGAGACGGATACCATTCAAAATATAATATATTTCTCAACGCATTGTTTATATGAACTAAATAATTGATTCCACTTGAAACATGGCACTTATTATCTACTGCATTACTCGTACCAAATTATATGAATGAATGCTTGCCTTATGTGCTATTGTATTGCTTCTGTAAAAGCTTTTTTACGACAAAATAAAATAGGAAAAAATGTTGTAATTTGTTGAATAGACATAAGTGCTTCATCGGATGATTATGATATTTTCTCTCAAATCAACAACATAAACAAATTATCTTAGAATATATTGCTTTACTCTATTTGTCTTCAGGATGGACGAACAGCATTACACATATCGGCAGAGAGGGGTCATTCAGATGTGGTTGAGGTGCTAGTGGAATATAACGTGGGCTGTAACGCTGAGACGATCGTAAGTAATATCTAAATATCCATCTGATACCCCATATAAAGACTACCTTGCGACTTTAATAACAGTCAATAACTACTAAATACTCAATATAGGCTAGACCTCTTTCTACTGTCAAACTATCGCTGGGGTATGCGTTTATGACATGTTGATAAAGCTTGGTCTTTGATTTGTCTGATGACTATGTTATCTTTCTAGTCTAATACACGCCGTTTTCTTCTGCCCATTACATATGCCAAGCGCAGAAGAGACATGTACGTTTTATCCTATTTCACCTTCTCATTTAAATGTTTTTTTCTTTGCCATACATGTCTTCACTGAACCTTTGTGCTGTATGCTGATAAAGTCAAACGATTCTTTCCGGGCAAAATTTCAGCTCATATCAGTAATCTCCTTTGGAGACAATGACGACAGCGTGCAATGGATTTCTTATTTATAAAAGATATAAATTATTAAATTAATTTTCATGATATAACGATTAAGTAGACCTTGTTTGGTTCAGTTTGAGATTTTGTAAAATTTCAACTTTGAATATGAAATAAAAGCATAGTCAGGTCATAGTGTAGAGAAATTGCGATTTTATTTAAATATTACCGGACTTTCGCATACTTCCTTCTGACAAGCACCTCTCATAATGTTCATTAAAGAATATACGTTTTTATTCCAGAAAGAGTTTACTCCCCTTCATTTGGCTGCAACACATGGTCATTATGATGTAGCCAAAACGCTTATAGAGCATGGTGCTAACGTCAACGCTCAGAATTTTGTAAGTTATCTCACCACAATCATTAATCATTAAAAACAGCACAATTTTTATTGTAATGATGTAACATTTGACATCAATGAATTGACTTCTCTTCTTATTCACTGGTGCTACATTGTATATATATATTGTTTTTATATTTGATTTTGATAGCAAGGGAATACAGCTTTACATCTAGCTGCCACGGGGAATTACAAAGAAGTCGCACAGCTCATCGTCGAGTCAAACGCACAAATTGACCTAGCAAATCTTGTAAGTTTTCATTCTATACACGACGTTAAGCTTTCCTTCGTGTAAATACCGAGAACATCTTTGTACTATTCTCTCGTCTACAGTGGTAAAAATACAAAACATTCTTTAAAAGGGATATGGTGTTGTCTTTCATTGACTTTTCAGTGTCTTTGTGGAGAGGTATATCATATATTTCCTATTCAATTACTAAGCTGCCTTATTGATACAGGTACTAGAATACAGATACCAGAGTGGTGCATCTTGTGTTACACGTATGTCTTGACATTGATAGAAAAAAAAACATATGACAAAATACTTGACTTAAAGGCCATTACATTTAATGCCTAACATACATTAATACAGAAAAAAATATTATGCTTAATCCTCGTCCCACATTGGTATTACATCTTAATCTTACTACTCCAGCATATACATTAACATTTGACAAGTCATACAATGATGAATTAAAACCTTTTGCATATACAATGCTTTAACAGAACATAAAGGAAATGTTATTGTGTAAATTGACAGCACAACGATTATTATGCGATTTTAATGACACGGCGGTTAATGTTGTATGATTTTAATAACAGAGCAGTTATTTTTGTGTGATTTTGATAACACAGCAGTCATTGTTGTATGATTTTGCTAACACAGCGGTTCCAAACATCTTTGCACGTGGCAGTTGAGAATGGGTTCCAGGATACTGTGGAAGTGCTACTCGCGGGAGGGGCCAGTCTCCATGCTAAAGAAAAGGTATCAGTATTATCTTGGCGAAAACTCTTAATTGCAACGTATATCTATTGATTTCCGATGTAAAAGCATTAAAGAAATTTTGTGATACTATTATGACAGTGAGTTCATAAAATATTGATTTCATCAAGATCCAATTGTCAATTATCGTTGTAATATCAACAAAGAAAATACCGCCGTCATGAAAACAAGATTTATTGCATTTTTGCTAGTGAAATAAAGAGAAATATCTCACTGATAGAGTATTAATTTTCACAAATGAAAGATAACATTGTTTTGTTGTTTTTCACAAGTTTTGTCTAATATGTTTTGGGATTTATTTTCACTACGAGTGCACAAACACTAAAATATTACAAACTTGTGAAATATATTTATTACTAAAGACACCATAAAATATCCTCTATTTCATTCAAACTTGTGTTAGAAAAACAAGGGCAGAATATGAAAAAAAAACATATTGTGTAAAGATAATAAGAACAGGTGTTGTGGAAGAATAAAGCTACATTAATTAGCCTTTCAAAGTTCATACGAACTGTTTCATTTTGTTTTCTAGTTAGGAAAAACCCCACTACAACTAGCGTCAAGAGGCAGTTTTGTGGCGATTGTTGACATGGTTATCAAGGCAGAACGGTACTACGCTGTGGCAAGGGTAGGAACATAGCAAGAGTTTAACATCCAACACAACATATAATTCTGATAAATTTCGTATTACACATGTAGCCTTTGAAGTGATTTTTTGGCAAGGATGGCGATGTTAGTTATGTCTTATTTAGAATGTCTCATATTATAAACGTTAATAATTTAGAATTAATCTTATTTTAACACTTCCTGTGCTTAATGTAGTGCGCTACAGTATGAATACGCTAATTGCAGATGTTTCACTACTCGTGTAGAAAATATTGTGAATTTCTATTATTGTTGAAACTTGTAAAAAAAAAAAAAATAAAATAAAGCGTTAAATTTGTATGGTACCACATTAAGTACGTATACACTACTCAATACATCAGGTATTAATGATAATCTAAGTCCAAAATGAGGAATTCTAAAGGACATTCATCAAAAATATTGACCGACAAATGTGTGTCCGTATCACGATATTACTAATAAAACGGTCAGCGTTACGTGTAGAACAAGAAATGATTAACCTCTCAGAAGATTTGGTTCTTCAATTCATTTGATCATGGTGTCTTTGAACTTTTCCTCTTATCTCATTTTCTATCGTTTTACAGCAAACTAATGCCTTTTAATGTTGTTGTATGTATTCTGATTCAATTCCCTATCGATATTCGCAACGTTTGGCGTTACAGAAAGATCACAATGATAACACATTATTTGGGAGAAGTGAACTAACGGATGTAGATTATCTAATTTTCCATGTGATGATGATGGTGTATATTTTGGGGTTTGTTTCTTTGTGATTCTATACTATATTGTAATTGATACTCTCCTAAGGACTACCACGAAAAAGAGCTAGACTATGTCGATCCGCACAGATACCTCAGACAACCCATCCATCCCTCATCCATCCAAATGAAAGATATCCTCTGGCGACTAGCCACAAAGCAACTGAAGCCAGGAGACTGGAAAAAACTTGCCATTCAATGGAAGTTTACAGCCGAACATGTTCGGGCCATAGAACATCAATACACAGGTTGGTCATATAATACACTTATCTGTCTTCATGGAACATACGTTATTGAATATATCTTCCATTTAGAACTGTATTATTGAATTATTTCATTTTCTTCGTGTGACAGATAGTGTCAGGGATGAAAAAAAACACAGGAATTAAGATTGTTTTTTATTTGTGATTTTTTTAAAAGTTTGTTTTTGTTTTCCTTCATTTTGAAGCGTTATATAGGTCTTACAGAGTCATTTCCTTTAAATGCTTTTATACTGTAGTAATCAATATCTTATCATTAAAACCTCTTCAGTTCATATCAGCTGTTGATAAGCAGAGTACAATTATCCCATGGATGCATTCAGGTGTCAAAACAAAATAAGCGAAAAAGGTATCGTTATCGTTATGCAAAGGAAAGAACGCACAACGTATGTATTTGTTGGTTAGGTCTTGCAATTTTTTACTTATGCTTTCGGATTGCATGTCTGGTTACCTAACCTAGCATTTGCTGGTTACTTACCAATTTTATTTAATTGTTTATATGCTTATCTCCAGGTACAAGTAGTTATAAAGAACACGGGTTCCGGTTGATGATGATATGGTTACACGGAGTGCGGAAAGACGAAAATATCATGAAACTTCTGTTTGAATCATTGGTGGCTATAGACAGACGGTTGCTGGCAGGTATGGCAAAATTCAAAATTAAAACTCACAGAATGCAAGAAAAATAATGTTATAATGTATCGGAAATGAGGATGATGATAAATTTGTTCATGGTACAGAGAACACCAGAGACTACAACACTATCAGCTAGACATGATATTTTATTCATCGTTGTAATGTTAATTATTCAGAACCAATACTTTTACTTAAACTATCTACTTCGTAATACTAGCTGTTATATTACGATATAACTTCAATTTCATTTTCAACCATCATCGTCATCATCATCATATTGTACATCTCACCTTCCTACATTTCTTTCCATAGTAGATATACACACGTTCTTTGTTTATTTCAGAACAAATAAGACGGCGTGCTGATTACGGTCACGATAAATTCTGTATGGGGAATGTGTGTAATATTGCGTAATGTTTGCTTCTATTATCGATTACCAGAAATCAAACCGCAGACAATCTGCTCGTATGCCAATGATAGTATGGTGCAATTTCTATCAGAAAACAGAACATCTCTAGGAAGAGATTATAAAATAATATCTATATTTTGTTAGAGCTACAAATGAAATATTTATATTTACATATAAATACGATACTACTAAATACTTTCAAATCTTCCTTGTTTACTTATCATTCTGCTGAATGTCTGGTTAGACACATTTTCTTGTGCATTGGACACGTCGTCTAACCAATTTTTAACTCACGTCATTTTTCATGGGCATCACTAAGTATCTCGTTGACTTAAACTTTTGACTCTACGTATTCGCAAATGGTCTGCTAAAATATGTACGGTGCCTTATATTAAGTTAAGGGCGAAGCATGCTTCGACGGAAAATCTGCCTGCGTGTCTTCAAAAGATATGTAAACCAAACGACCCGCCTGAAAGCATGGAAGTGCCACCTCTGTATGTGTTAACGTTATTCACTAAGTACCACACAAGCGCGATTGCGCTTCGTGTTTTGGCTTTTTAGTTCAGTTCTGCTGTTTAAGTGCCGTTTATATGTTCCATGTGTTTTGTTTTTTTTTTCAAATAAGTGTTGTTTACGTTGCGACCGAAGCTCTCTCATAGTTTATTTTTACTCACCAGAGATTTTCATTTTAAAATATATTCTTACAAGTTCTCGAACTGTACGAATCGACAGTAAGCTTCTTCAAACATATTTCAAATTATCATTGTATTTTGTTTCGAGACAGGTTTTGTGTATATCCTATATGGTAAGTTATTACTCTTTATTGACATTGTCATCATATTGGGTGTTGGTATGGGAAACGGGTGGGGTTGGGGGTAAAACTTTCCAATGCTCAATATAGGTTTACCTTTTTATTCCTTGTATGAATACCTTATAATTTGTATTTACTGTGAAAGATACTAAGAAAATTCAGTCGGACGGGTCATTCAAGTGAAAAATGGAGTGGCAGAAATAGTAATGGTTGTTATTTCACTTGTGTACGAAGAATTGTTGTAACTTGTAGACTACTGTTTAGTGATTAATAGTTGTTTGCTGGCACAAGTTATTTTGTATTACATTGTTGATTTCTCAAAATATAACAATAGATATATAAGATATATACAATATATAAGATATACAAATTCACTCCAAAATATCTTATATACCAACACAAAATGTTCCTTTCATTTATTACAGTCGATTAAAAATGTCTATCACTTCTGATTTTCAAATTCCCTGTTTCTTCGAAAAATTAACATACATGTACATTTTGATAACTAGTGCATGAAATCCACAATCAAATCCTGACCCTTAAGTTGCATTTGAAATGTATGTGAATATTGATGTCAAAATAATATATTGAAAATAATAGGATGTCAGTTTAGATTTCAAAACATTTAAATACTAACAAATAATTCTGACGCTTGGCAAGGTGTGTTATGGAGGAAATGTGCAATTAATCTAAGTTGGAGACACGATTGATTTTTCAATGTTCAATTTGAAAACATCTTTATTGTACAGGATGCCTTATGATTAAGGTTAAATGTTTACATGTGTGCATTTTTTACAATAGATACGAGTTCATTTTTGTCTGTAAGAAACTTAAGCCCATATGATATTTGCGCAGTTTTTTATTAATATCTTTACAAAACTTACTTTCATCTATTGTTATCTGTAGATGTAATCTAAGTTCGATTTTTATATAGAAATATTTCTTTCTTGTCTTTGTACATGAGATACTATGACTATACAATTATACTTTTGATTATTTTGTTTGTTGGATTGTGCATTTCAGTATGTTTGATACGTAATCCAAATAAATAGAAAACGAATACCAATAAATTCTAGAACTATTTAATATGTCCGTGTCTGATTTAAAACAACACAAAACGGCTACAGTTCAGACTACAGGATTGCATATTCTGTGTATACACAAACACTCATACCTTAACTATCCAATGTCAATTTATATACATAGATTATTGTTTTGACTGCGATATATTGGAGTATGCGAATCCGGACCCAACACAGTGACGTCCACCATCAACATAGATAGAATCTCCAGTTGTGCAGGATGCCAGGTCTGATGCCAGAAATGCAATCGCATTTGCAACTTCCTCTGGAGTTGGAAGGCGCCCGATGGGATGTGTCATATTTTGTGAAGTTGTAAACTTCTGCAATTTCTAATAGGCATATTTTTTATATCATATCTACTCAACTTATTTGATTTATATCGAAGAAAGAAAATATTGTTAAATGGGCATACCTTAAAGATCTTTTCTACATCTCCCAGCTTTCTTATATCATATTCCGTTATTTACTTTATGACACAGATAATTAATGTTCGATATAGTGTGAATCAAACGCATTAGGACATTGTTTTGTCTGTACCGGTCTTGCTATGTTTGTATATCGAATTTGTCAAAATTTTTCGGTTTATGATCAACTATTATAATGTTTCACACAAAGCTAACACAGCAACATAGCTCTTAGAGAACGGCTACCACATGAACATCTGTTCTTATTGAACTTTTTGCAGGTAAGTGAATATAATGTAATATGAATATTAGCAAGGATTTAATTTTGAATTATAATTGAGGTATCCTCTGCATATGTATATCTGACCGATTACAAATTAACAGGTAGGCTAATATGTCCTGCTTAAAATGGACAAGAAACATCACATAATTTTATCTGTTATATTTTTTTATTCTATCCTTAATTTCGTATCAATAATTCCACAAAGCCACTTAAATTTCTTAGATATCCAAATTTCATTTAGTACATACCTCAGCGTCTCCTTGTAGGAATTTATCATAAAAGTTTGTCATCACAACACCAGGCCTGAAATATTGAAACACTTTATATAGACATTCTATCTAGACTAATCAAGTCCGGATTGGATCGACCGTAATAAAAGTTTGTTAAATGATTATTTCTTACCTAACTTCATTTACTCGAACTCCAAACTGGGCCATTTCTAAAATCAAAAACAACATATAATGCACATTTGTGTCAATTACAAATTACATATCCGGTTGTGAATTAACATGTGAGTATAGGTTTAAAATATCACTTCTAAACAGTTCATAAATTATAACATCTAACTTTCCATAATCAGATATCAAAGTTCAATCTTAATTACATCTGCATATTGAAAATGAAATAAAAGTCTTAACGATTGAATCAAGAAACATTTACCTGTAGTGATATTTTAACAGTCATTGATCATGGCCAGAATTCGCAAAATGATAAATTCAATTGGTAAGTTTGAAATAACGGTTTTATATACGGGGACCCCTTGGTGAGCCCCTGGTTAGGGTATATATCAAAGTTATCTTACCAAGCGCCATTGTTTTGGTGAACATTGCCACCGCAGCTTTACTTATTCCATACACTCCACTCACAGGCATCTTGATGAAAATATATATGCATATAAGTAACATGTACATGTATACTATGATCCATCAAAATGATATGGGAATGTTTTATTTATCAAATTTTCAAACATTTTTATTTTTACATAGTGAATTTCGTCATTGCCTTGATGTAGTGCTTTCTTGTCCTTGTTACATGCAAATGCGAAAGGCGACCCTCATATATAATATCTGTATATGTACTTAGTCGCTATGCCTAAACAAGATTTATTTCATTTCATGACACTGGTGATTAACGACAAAAAAAGTAAATGTGGTACAAAATGTATTCATCCTTCAGCATTTGAAAACGTTTCAACCTTTCATAACTTTCAAATCCGAAGTTCTCCTTGGAAATGCTACGAATTGCCAAACAATACCAATTTAAACAAAGTCCAATATTTATACTTACCGCTTCCTCCGAAACAATACTTGCCAGATTTACTATGTTTCCTGAAATAATAAGAAATATATTACGGTTCTTAAGATTTTTCAAAAGACACACAAGTAAATAACACATTTCAATGCAAAGAGTAAGATACAGTAGAGACAACCAATGAATAAATTGCATCTTACTAGTGATGCTAAGGGCCTAAATGTTGTGACTGAAAAATCCAAAATTATCAACAGAAACGTGAGTTTCGTAATTTTCAAATATCAGATAATTTCAGAACAGCGTCAAGTACAAATTGTACAGAAGACACACAAGTAAAAAACATCTTAGCATATTTAGAGTAAGATACATTAGAGCCAAACAAACATGTTTTTATTTTGCCATATTCATTCCGTATATATGACAGGCACCGAAACTCGTTTTATCTCAAAGTGATAGACATCGTTACTCATTATCTTTATTGTATATTGATCAAAACTGATTTCACAGTAAATATGGCGGTAGCTGATTAACTGACATCTTCATTCTATTTTTTTCTCAAATAAATATGTTAAATTCATTATATTTGTTCCGATATGGACTAAGAAAAAAACACCTTTGGTAGCCTTAAGATGTGGAATGGCTAGTTGTGTTAAGTAAAGTTGTGCCTTTACGTTCAAGTCCATCGTGGCGTCATACATATCTTCAGGTGTTTGTGAAAGCATGGCAAATCGTCCAATGCCTGCATTATTGATCTGCAGAAAAATACAAAGACACATAAAGAAGACAGGGAATGTATAATTTGTGCTCCCAATCGGTAAAATCTTACGATTTTATAGCCATAGCAAAATAGAACCTATTAAAAGAACAAATAGGCTACAAACAATTGCGTGTTATCAGTCTTGGGCACTCAGCTCCATGGAACATTCTAAAGCATGAATTGTGAACTTTTGACCCACAAATTATTTATTAACTCGTCCATGTGGCAATAAATAAACATAACCAAAAGGTTCAAATCATTCAAAGACGAACAAAAACATACATCAAAAATCTAAAAACCGTAATGCAGAAAGTAAATTTCAACCAATAAGAAAAAATATAGCATTTGGTTTCCTCTTGATTTTACTACCAGATCATTGTAAAACATCGAACGATATGTTACGGAACAAAACCAGATTGAATGATTTAAAAGAAAAAAACATTGCTAGCCACTGTGTGCATTACCAGGTGTCTTTTGCATTCTATGTGGGGTCAATGTGACTAATATTGGCTTAAGGACAAACTGACATAATGTTTAACTCCTGCTGAATTCGCATATCATAATATCGAACACATTTCGCCCGTTCTTAGAAGGTGTCTATTTAATAAAAGTAATTATTCTTGCAAATCATTACAAAAGACACACAAGAAGATAACACTGATAAATATAAATTTAGAACAACAAAGTAGAGTCAAACAATTAATTAACCTTCATCATGCATCTGGTTTGTCCTTATAGGTCTCGCAAGTAAAGCTTAGAGCCTAGATGCTTAACCTGGGAGAGGAGACTAAGGAAAATCCAGCGAAACCAAAAGAAAATTCAAGATCTAAATCGGGGAGATGCATTAGATTCATAATTATGTGAATTTCGTAATTTTCATATATCTGATCACCAACCTGATTTGTACAAAGTCAAACCTAGGATGGAAGATACATCAATCTATTGTTTGGCTCTTGCTTGAAATATGATCTATAAGATGCCGCACATTTGTGTTTCTTTTGTACATTTTTTGTAACAGCATAATTATCTGTATAAATGGTCTACAACTAGACTTTAACTGTTTCGTACATTGATTAAAAGAAATGTGTATTAAACTCTGTTTGATTGTTCTGGTATACATTGTAAAAACATATATAACATTTGAATTTCTATGTTCGAGTATTTGCATCCCTAAGGAATTTCTTATGAAACTACAAGGGTGGGAGCACTGCTTTATTCTCTTACCAAAATATCGAGTCTACCGAATTTGGAAATGCATTCGTCGATTATTTTCTTTCTGCTGTCTTCGTTGGTAATGTTTGCCTCCACAGCAAGAACCTACACAAACAACAAATTGCCTTACTGGCATGCCCATCTACATGCTCATTACTCGTATCTTTATCACAGCCTAATTGTTTATGTATGTGTAATTAATATTTCGTCACCAGATATCCTGACTAATTTTATTTTGCAAGAAAGAAATCTTATGAAAAATGATCTTGAAAGAGGATGTGTACAAATTACTAATCATTTTAATTTCGAGTTTGTATTATTCGCTATTTTCTGGATATTGGAAAATCTTTAGTGTACGTTGGACTGTTTTACAATTTTTTTTACATATGATCATCAGCGTTGACGATTCAAGATAAAATAGTCAGTCAGACTTTTCCATCCAAACACTATTACATGTTCTCTGCAATTTAGATCATGAAAGGAAACATGCAAATCATTCTAAAAATGAAGCGCCTATCATATTGATCCTACGTCATCCCCTGTCAATCCTGTCTTCTTGCATTCCTCCAGCACAGCCTCTGCACCATTCAGATTGATGTCCGCAATTACTAACTTTGCTCCATATTTAGCAAAAAGGAGCGCTGTTACTCTTCCGAATCCTCCACCTCCACCTTAATATAGAGGAAAGATTATGATAAATCTGTACAGAGTGTTCAATGATGCATTGAACTTTGTAAGTAACGCATAGTTATATGAGGACCTTGAGAACATATCCACAAAATCATCAAGGTTAATCCAGAAATAAATACGAACAGTGAAAATAACACTATGGAAACGTTATAAAAAAACCACCACAGAAAAAAATAGACCAGAAGTTCATAAAGGGTTAAGCGTTTTATGATAGTTTCATGATCACTACTACCAGTACTGTGATTTCATATCGCATAATCCAATTGAAACAATTAGAACATGTACCAGATGTCAATATACTGGTCATTGAATGTAACACTTAACTACATAATGGAGAACAGATCACAAAATAAAGTTTTAATTCGTATGAAATTTGAGAAATTGAAAATTTGACTATGGGGTGGACATTTAATTCCTGTCTTATATTTCTCTATATTGAATCTGATATCAATTATATTTCTTACAAAACCACTCACAACTTCTGTTATAAAGATAAGATAATCTTTAAGGGTCACTATTACTGCATGCACCTTGTCTCTAAAGAAAGCATTTAGGACCTTCCATCTACCAAACGTTTCGTCTATTATAATCAAGCATTACAGGGGATGGAAGATAAAGTACAATGGTGTCTGTTTGAAACTGAAACTTTTAACTTTTTAGACATCTAAGTGAAGTATTTTTTTTTTTTTTTTTTTGATGGTCTAGGAGGAGGTCAATGATTTCATTGATGACGCAAGTTAGATATTGACCCCTTATTCGTCAGAGCAGCTTGGAGAGGGAAGCATGCCCTAGTTTACCTGGCAGCAATCGCTACAACCCAATATACACACAAAAACTGTGATGTTTTACAATGTAAATCTCACTCTCTTTTTTCGTTAATTTTGTTTTCTCTTTAGACTAATAAATATAAGCAACAGAATTATCATAATAGATGATCGTAGACGATCTGGTTGTTGTGTCTACTATTAGCATTTTACGACCACATGTTGTATGTTGTAAAGCTGTTTCGTGTGTTCAGTTTCTGTATATTATAATGACCTGATAGAAGCCACATGTTGGCTTGATAAATAAAGAAATTCAACATGTCACTCTTCATGTTGTACTCTCCATACTTCTGGAAAATTTATTGGACATGAAGTGTTTGCTACTGTTTATATTTCAGCACCTACTTTGTGTAGATACTTGTATAGATACTGAATATTCGTGTTCTAATAGATGACATATGTAACTTTGACAAATTCAGATTTAGACTGTTTTCATTCTCTCTTTTATTGTGTTATTCTTGTTATAAGTGGAGAGAGATTATCAGTAAATAACAAGTGTTTGTATTAAAATCCCGCACTTCAACTAGGTAGAAAACACTGATATCAACTATCATTTACGAACTGTAAAAGGAAAAAATAAAGAATTTTCGATCAATTGAAGTTTTCTGTTGATCATCTCATTTTTTTAACAATCTGTCTGTTACATGTGTTATATGGGCCGCGGCGACTGAGAGGTAGAAACATCTGACCATCTTTATCAGTAGTTTAAGGTTCTACACTGTTGGTGTTTTTTTCTGCGGGATACCGGCTTCCTTCCACCACCCAGATCTGACATGCCCTTAAATTACCCTGGTTGTTAAGAGAACGTACAACAGTAACACTTAACTAAAACAAGTATGCGATAATAACAAAATAAGCTGAACATATTATGTATATATGCGTAAGGCAATTGACCTACATACGGTGTGCTATGCAGCCCGGATACGTGAACATGTTACATGTCGTCGGCTGTTCGAGATAAGCACCCATCCGAAGTCACTTGTGTACAAGTACAATCATTTCATTGTTATAACAATGTATTAGCGTTATCATGATGCAGATACAATAAATGTAGCAATTCTGATTATTGAAATATTTCCTACATAATCTATAAGTTGCTATATGTATAACAGGATTGCGCTCGGCAACATACTTAGGTTGCTGAAGGCGTCAGCTAAATATTAATACATTCACTGTGACATTTCGGAGCAAATACCTGTTCATTAATCACATTTGTATTACCTGTGATGATAGTGACTTTGTCTCGGAGGGACTCCATCCTCAGCTTGTCAGATATATCGGACCGTTTTTTTTATAAACTACCACCAAAGTCTACACAATTTGTGGATAGAGTAAATACGTGCATAGACTGATAAAGGAAGATTTGATACGGGATTGACTTAACACATGCGTACACAAATATCCGTTTTATCTTGATATTTATGCAAGTTGATATCGAGATGTGTTGCGTGACTAACAATAAAGAAATATCAGTACGTTGGGATATTGATTGATGTCAGAGGAAGTCAATAAAGTAAATTACGGTAACATTCCAAAATGGTACTGATTATTCGTATAGTACTATACATACAAACAATACAAAACTATATAAGGAAGAAAAAGAATTAATAGAAATACTACAGAAATAATCAAACTATATTCGTTTATTCTATACTATTTTATGGAATCGAAATTTGCTTCAAATATGGTTTCAATCTTTGGTTGCTAGTCATGCATTTGAATTTAATTTTTTTTTATAAATATCTGTCCAGTTTAGTTGTCTGACATAATAAAGATTTTGTCTGACTACATAACATCTAAATAAATAAGCAATAGGACAGATCGCTGTGATAGTGAATATATTGACTTTACTACTTAGCTGATACATTATTCATACATCCTACAATTTCACCTAGAGTCCGATCATGTTATCGCATATTTGCTTTGTGTCAATACATATATTACGTTATTATTTGGGTCGACTCGCAAGTCTGAGTGAATATTTATCTGTAACGACTAAGCTTTAATCGGACTGAAAAAAGAGTAAATCATCCTTTTCTTTTTAAGAATCAAATTTCAAATTTTCTCATTGGTGTGATTGATACCTGAGAATAAGTTATGACTATTTGATCTAGATGAGATATGTTGGATTTTGGACCAAAGAATAAAAATTTGATTTGGTCTAGACAATCTCAGGATCACTTAATTCATGCTTGATATCATTGCCGCTCTCACATTATGTTTCGGGTCAAATTTGGTTGAAATCTACCAAGACATTAAGAAGGAGTAGCGTTTTAAAGAAATATTGTCGAATCAACTTTTCTGAATTTTAAGAAATAATTTTCTATCTACCATAAGGTTTTGTGCCACATTTGGGTTTAATTCATTAAAGCCTCAAGGAAGAGCAGCAATTTGCAGCAAAATCATTGACTTATTTTCCCTAAGGGCCATATACGTTTTCTGAATTTAAGAAATTGTTCTTCACTTTCAATATTGTTTTAGACAAAATCTGGTTGAAAGTTATTTAAGCATACAGAAAGTGTAGCAATTTTTATTAAAATATTGTCTAATTTCCCCCCATCGAGGTCTCGACCCACGTCCCTAGGGGCCAAATCAACTTTGTGAATTTAAAAAAAAATGATTAAACACTGTCGATGATGTTTCCGAGGTGATAATGTTGAAATTCATTCAAGCATTCAGAAAGTGAAGCATTTTGAATCAAAATGTCGTCTAATTTCCCCAATTAGGACCTCACCCAATGTCCCTAGGGCTCAAATCAACTTTCTGAATTAAAGAAATGATTCCTCAGTCTTAGTGATGCTTTTGTCCAAATTGGGTTGATATCCATTCAAGCATTAAGAAAGATTGATATTTTGAAGTAAAATATTGAATAACTTTTCCATTGGAAAAACCAAAATTTAACAGGATAAAAAGGTATTACGTTACCATTGCACGACCTAAGCACCCTTATAGGGGCAGAGCTTGTTACCATTCAAACAGAAAATGTACGTTGCCACTTCATCTTCCACTGAACCTTGCCTAATAGGTTGAACCCCGCCACCCTACTTTCTCCTAGTCAGTTGATAAAGTGTATGTCTTCAAGTGATTAAATGTTATGTTTTACCTTTACGATTTCCCCTATTGATAATGACTGCAGACTGTCAGATCGCCGTTACCATCCGTAATTGGTGTAGGTTGTTTCTTGTTTCGTGTAAATGTATCCTGTTTACCTTTGGTGTATAACACAGACATATTTATTTAGACAATCAAAGATATTTTCCCTAAGGTCAAATGTTATTGTCATTTAGTTGAGGCATCACCTAGTCAGCTAGTCTCAATATTGGATAAACTTTATACTCTTTACTTAACAAGTCCGCCCTTTACTCTATCAACAAGGATCACTCATAATTTGGGTTTCCTTCCTTCTTTCAGCCAACTTTGTTTTCCAACTTATTCCTGCTGTATATAAATCTATGTATTGCTGAATAAGTCATGACGTATTATTCATGAATCATTGATTGAAACCTTGACCCTATCAAACCAAGGACTGATTGGTCATTTTTCCCTGACAGATGCTAATTCAAACAGACACATACATTACTTCCCCTTCGCTAATCGTCGGTCGATGCTTCACTAAATCGGAATGACATCCCGAAACTAAACTGACCTATCCTGAGAGGAAATTCTTGAATGCCGAAAAAATAGCCCACAACGCCCTTTCTTCATACAATTGCATGATATAGTAAAATGTCTTTTTCACTAAAATGGTCTGTTACTATTAGGGGGTATGTTTACTGAGGAAAATAAATGTAACTAAATAAGATAAAAAGTAAACCATTTTTCACTTCATTATCAAGAACAATCGTATACTTCGCCAATGTTTTCATGAATTATGTTCACTTGCTACATGTTTGCTATACATTTTATCCATTTTTGTGCGTTCTGTATTATGCAACCTATCAGTATAATGTTTAAATGCACTTGTTTTTGTGCCCTACATGTATAGTTTCCAGATTCATGATTGACTCGTGTTGCCCAGAACCAACAAAGCTGACTGCTTTCCTGGGGCAGATTTTCTTTAAGATCATTTTAACTGGATAGATATCTTGTTTTGATTTGCATTTCATTGAACTGTTTTTACGTTAAGGAAAACATCATACACAAATGTAAATAGACACATTTTACTAAATATTTTAATCAATCATGCTACAGGTACATATACATGATGACAAACTACGTTAAATCATCACGAAATTAACTTCCCATATAATGTCATTTGAACAACTCCTGACATGTACACCGTCAGGAGAAAAAAAATCCCTGTTAGAAATAAATGAATGACAAAGGAACCAATGGACTTGTAGAACGTATCACTGCGCCTTTAAATGCGGATTGTGCCTTGCGCCAACACAGTGGCGCCCCCCATCCACGAAAAAGAAGTTTCCGGTGCTGTAGGAGGAGAGATCGCAGGCGAGGAAGGCTACGGCTTTAGCAACCTCTTCCGGAAGTCCTAAGCGTCCAAGCGGGTGTTCAGAAATGACGCTCTTCATCACATTCTAAAACACAATATCAAACACATATCGAATAAAGACACAAAACATAACCATGGCTATGAGAATACCTTAAGAAACGTGTTCTATCAAATGTTTCGGTCGTTTAATTTATATAAATGTATGAAAAAGTTAATATATATTTTGTTCGTCAAACTATACGTACCGAGACGTTTTCTCCAAAGTCAACATCGTACAGGCCAGTATGCATCGTGCCTGGTCTGCAAATATGATATGGATAAATCTATATAGAATCCAACACTTATTTCTAATAAATGGACTTTTTGTGTTTGTTCTCGTTTATAAAGATCAACATTAGGTATGGCCTTACTAAATCAAGCCATAGAACGTAACAAAATATGCAAGGCATGTACAAAATTGATGACGATGACCATCGCTAAAACATTTTAGAGAATAAACAAAAGATCAATTGCTTATGCTAGAAAGTAATATTCACCACACTAGATTCACGCGCAAATATTACTCACCGCACCGAATTCACGCGCACTCCAAATTCTGCCAACTCTGTAAAGAATAGTTTGAAACAATACCGACACAGTTTTCTTCAAAACAATGTTTACATTTCTATGTTAGAGACGGCACCAGCATTTCAAATGATGACAATCTGCTGCTAAGGCAAGGATTGTACAAAAGACACAAATGAATAGCACATATTGATAATTTAGAGTTGGACACTTTAGAGCCAAACAATGAGTTAAACTGTATCATGCAGCTGCTTCGTCATTCAAGGACCCGTCAGTGATGCTAAGGACCTACATTTTGAAACCTAGGGAACATTGCTGTAGGTTTATTTTCTGTAGTGCTGTTTTCAAAAGGCCTCCTACCTCACTAAATGGACTTGAAGGACCATGGAAAGATTTACAAAAGACACATAAGTGAATAGCACATTTCTTAATTTAGAATTAGACACAGTTAAGTCAGACAATGAATTATACTGTATCATACAGCTGTATTGTCCTTCTAGGACTCGTCAGTGATGCTTAGGGTCCAACTTATACAGCCTAGGATGCGACTGAGGAAAATTCAACATCTAGACGAGGAGCTGCAGCAGTTTTATAGCAATATAAATTTCGAAATTTCATATATCGGACAATGTACACGACACGAAGTTGTACATGAATAGAACATTCACATTGTTGTCTTATAAATATAATATATTGATGTATTGAAATTATCAATATTCCACAATATCATTTAATTAACCAGGAACTATAAGCTAACGATACTAAATAATTAAAATAAATATAATGAGGGTAAATTACATACCAATTGCAAGCACTTTCGTGGCACAGTCAATGCCTGCTTTAGATATACAGTAAACACCTGCTGGTGCTACCTACAAAACCAATCAAATCATAAATAAACGCTGTGGATATAGGAGCATTGGCAGCTGTTACATTATTTCTACCTAACTATACTGTGGCTTCAGATCATCGGGTTTTAATGAAGCGGGCCAGAAATTCATAATTTTTTAAAATCTTCTATGGTAGTGGCTAATACGTGTTGCTTATGGAGGAAATAACTAATGTAATGTAAAGAAAGATGTTGCAGAGAATCGTTCTACAATATGTATCGAATGCTTTTAATCAAAGGAATAACATTAATAAGCGTCGCCTTTGATGTCGTTAGGATAAAATAAGGCGTATATTTTATTTCTACTGTATGTATTGCATGCGACATATAGATAAACATATCTGCATCTGATTCATCTGAGCTTAATCAATAAATGTATGCATATATTTGCATTTGCTCTGGCATCCAATGCATAGTGAATGCAAAGGAAATAATGTATTTGAAAAAAAGTCGTGTGCCATTTGGTAGTGTTTTGTGTATTATGTAGTTATCCGAACAACGGGAAAGAAAATCATATCGGGAAATTTCGTCAACACTGCAATAGGCATATATACTTTGCTTTGAATTCTGGTAAGATTGATGTCTAATTTGTAAAAAATCAAAACCTGTTAACAAGATATGTTTAAGTAGTGATGTACGATCCTATGTAAAGCCGAGAAAGATACCGGTAATTCTGCTTAGAGTTCTCACCACTGGCACACCGTGACGACCTAGTCATTGTATTCCGTGATATAACAATTACTCTGAAGGCGTTAAGATAAGTCCAGCGTATCTTATACTTATATCAAACCGATGGGTAACGAATGCCAAGCGTATTGCCAGTTTTCGTAACGTATCATCAATGTTGTTTAACCTAGGTTTTCCCAGTGCGTGTATATCTTTGTCAATCAATCTTCGCAAACATAATCTCGTGTATCAGATATCAATATGGTGTCAATATAAATACTGATATTAAAATCGTGAAGGTCGAAAACAAAACAAGAACCGAATGAACTCACCGCCTCTTCAGCAACTATGCTGGACAGATTCACAATTGTTCCTGCAAAAAAATAACATATACATAAAAAACATATTCTGATGTCAATTTCTATTTATTATATAACATATAGACGAGACATCTAAAGATCTTGACACAGAAACCATACATGTATTACCTTTCGTCATTTTGAGATAAGGGACGGCGACTTTTGTCAAGAAAATTTGAGCCTTCAGGTTGACGTCCATTAGGAAATCGTACATATTGTCATCTGCTTCCAGCATACTCTTCTTACGGTAAACACCGGCATTGTTTATCTACAAAAACAAAGATGTTGACGTTAATGTTAATCAGTTTTGATTTCTCTATGTTATCTCCTAGGTTTCAACATTTATTTATCACCGAAGAGACATAGAAAGAATAAACAGCTGTGTGATGCATTTTAATTCATTATTTGGATCTGCTGTATCTGATTTTGAAGGTTTATCAAAAATTGTTGTTTACTATTATTTCTGTGGCTTTTGTAAACCATATAAATGTTCACTGTTGGAAACTTTTTCATTACCGGTCTAACGATAGGTTTTACAATATTTCAATTCATCAGTGGGATATTTAAATGTGGGAATGTTTAAGTAATTACATATCATTTTGAGTTTTAATCCGTCTCCGAGGTTTGCTACATCCAGCATGATATGGTTTAACTGATTCGAATGCAGCTGCGACTCAGAATATACACAATGTTTTTATTCTAACTCCATTAAATATTTAAAACCATTCACACATTAGACGTTTTGGTTTTGAAATCGATTTCTAGAAATATAGATATTGTCAGACGAGTCCTAGAAAAGTTTTCAATAATTTGGTTATATGGAAATTTATTCTTAAAATATGCTATTATCTTTGTCAGTTTTACAATTTTCCATTACTGAAATACATTTGTGTAAATCATGGTTTGATAAACCAGTTAAAATGGATTCAAATGATACAACAATACCAGGATCCATAATTTTACAATACATATGAATAAAAAATGCAAACTTTTAATTATTTTTCTTTGTCTTTATTTTTTATTCATTTGTTATCATCGAATGTACTCACTTTGTTTATTGTTATAAGTAACTAGCAATTTAACAATCGACTAAATGTCTCGTTTTTGTCATCAAAATCAAATAGGATTTAACACGATGGTACATGTAGATCAGATCGTGTTACACTCGAGCTCGGATCATATCGTGTTACACTCGAACTCAGATCAGATCGTGTTACACTCGAACTCAGATCAGATCGTATTAAACTCGAACTCAGATCAGATCGTGTTGCACTCGAACTCGGATCAGATCGTGTTACACTCGAACTCGGATCAGATCGTGTTGCACTCGAACTCGTATCTGATCGTGTTACACTCGAACTCAGATCAGATCGTGTTATACTCGAACTCGGATCAGATCGTGTTGCACTCGAACTCGGATCAGATCGTGTTACACTCGAACTCAGATCAGTTCGTGTTACACTCGAACTCAGATCAGATCGTGTTACACTCGAAATCAGATCAGATCGTGTTGAACTCGATCCCAGGTCAGATCGGGTTGTCCTCGATCCCAGATCAGATCGTGTTGAACTCGATCCCAAATTATTGTTTTCTTCTTGTACAATGATGTCTTCCGAGTGAAATAGCTTCTAGAATTGAATATAAAAATGTTTCAGAAAAGTAGAATATTGCTCTCACCAAAATGTCTATCCTTCCAAATGTTCGCACGCATTCCCCTACCAGATTTACTCTATCAGCGTCTTTCGTGATATCACATTTAACGGCTAAAACCTAAAAAAAAAGAAATATCATATTATTCAAATGTTTCTACACTGAAAAACAAACTCTTGACACTATACAAACATTCGAAGCAAGTATACAACTAAGTTTTCGAATATGCATTTTCATCATAAAACCCTTTATAACAATCAGTTATGTGATCTTCTTTCCATTAACTTCTGACCAATTTTTTTTACAAGTTAAATATAAAAGAAAAGCTATATTCAACAGAGAACGAGTTATCAAACCTATATCAACTGGTAACTAAAAAGCGATATAATTTACATGGACAAGTCGTACTGTGTCATAAAAAGAATGTCGGCACTTATGACGTCAATCTCTACTACACAATAGCATTTAATTTGGCTCTTCACCACGATTTACCTACAGCTGAACCTCGTTAACTCGAACTCTACTACCTCGAAGACCTTTTCAATTCGAAGCCTTTTGTCGGTCCCGGCCAAATTTTACACTAAACATTCGCACTAACTTAAATCGAATACTTGGATAACTCGACATTTTCCCATATTCCTGTCGACTTCGAAATAACGAGGTTCGACTGCACTTTTATATATGACTCAATTTCGTTTGCTATCAAAATATAAACGAACGATGTGCTTTTTAGTACAATGTTTGTGTATAGGGCATCTATATACCAAAATGATAACTTAAACAGAACTAATGTTGCTTTTCAAAATATTTTATATATAAGATGCATTTCTTAACAGCATCAAGAAAGATGTAAGGTGAAGTCATGTCCAATATACCTACAAGGACAAGACAACTGTGGTCGTTTAGTTACCTGAAGGACGAGACAACTGTGGTCGTTTAGTTACCTGAAGGACGAGACAACTGTGGTCGTTTAGTTACCTGGCTCTTTTTGTGGCCGTTGGTGACACATTCAGCAGCCACTGCCTCGGCTCCTTCTAAATTCATATCAGCTAGAACTACTAATGCTCCATATTTGGCAAACAGCAGAGATGTACAGCGACCGAAACCGGATCCGGCTCCTTGTTATACACAAAACAAATAATAATTTAATATATATTCAGATACAATCATACGAAAGCCTATTAGTGTCACTTTGAAAAACAAAAAAAAAAACCCTTTTTTCTCGTTAAAACGCGTTAATTATCTCGTTATAACGCGTTAGTTATCTCGTTAAAACGCGTTAGTTATCTCGTTATAACGCGTTAGTTATCTCGTTTTAACGAGATAAAATGCGTTATTTATACAGTTATCTATCTGAGAGATGTGACGTTTACGGTCAGGCTTCGGAATGAATTCGCTTATTTCTTTCGTGAAGAAGCTATCGGATGAAGGGAGTCAGAAGATGGAGAAATTAACTTGTTAATTGATATGTTTGCTTCTCAAATGTAAAAGCTAGTTTCTAGCCTAAAGACAGGACCAAAAAATAATTAACGCGTTTTAACGAGATAATTATCGCGTTTCAACGAGATAACTAACGCGTTTTAACGAGAAAACTAACGCGTTTTAACGAGATAACTATCGCGTTTTAACGAAATAACAAGCTAGTTTTAACGAGATAATTAACGCGTTTTAACGAGATAACTATCGCGTTTTAACGTGATAACTAACGCGTTATAACCAGATAATTAACGTTTTTTAATGAGAAAAAAAGTTTTTTTTTCGCTTTTCAAAGTGACACTAATAGGCCTTCGTACAATCACCACCAATAAATCTGTCGTTTTTCATCTTTTAATACATCATATACAAGTTTGTTTTAAATTCGCTCGACTAAATTGACTTGGTGTCATTGCAATCGTTTGCAAATCGTATTTACAACGAAACTTGGATTGGTACTGGTATACATACAAGGATCTCATGGATAATTAAATGCTTAGTTTTTGATAACTAAACAGAACGTGGCAGAACAGATATGAATGTGCCCACATGACCTACTATATCTAAATACTTACTGCTACAGTAGGTTTCCTTTGTCCTAAATTCAGGGAGTATACTTTAACTTCTATTTATTTAACATCCTACAAATATTATAAAGATTACCACGTGTTGGTGTATTTTTTTCAGAATGCAGATTAAAGGACACCGGACACTTTTTTAAACGTTTTTAAAATCTCAAATGAAAGGTTTCTCAAAGTTATTTAGAAAGCGAGTGTTTAGGTTCATCAAGATATACCGCATTGCTAATTTCCAGGCCTTCAAAGTAACTGTTAGGATTTGCTGTGATTTCACGCGGCACTGTGACATCATCTGACCGGGAAGATCTCTCCTTGTAAGCAATAGGATTTAGATGTGTTGTCCAACACATCCGAAATTAAAATTTGCCGACGTGAACATATATGAGACAAAATTCGCTGTCTATATGAAACGATTTGAGCGAAAATCATGATATTCATCTATCTCTGAGTATTTTACCAACGTAATACTACACCATATGACATAAAGCAAAGCGATGAACTGTACAGACACGTGTGTGAAAATGTCTATGTAATATTCTATCCTGCGATCGCCATCAATATTAGCTATGAGATATCAACATTAAAGATCTTCTGTTTTGGTTTATTTGATTTTCAAAAATGATAATGGGCGCTTCGATCTTTCCGCTCAGTAACATAATTGTGTTGTCGCTCCCATACTATTTGACTGTTTGATGTGCATGTTTCATTTTTTTTTTCTGTTATCTTCCAATCAAGACAACAGGTCAACACACACTGCACTATGACAAGACAACAAAAGCAATCAACTATTCTGTTTGTTGGTTCCCCTTTTCACAACTGTATTATTTCATTTCTGCTTTTTACCCCTTCTTATCTAACACATATATCATAAGAATCGATCACACTGATTTTGTTTTGAATAAAAAATCCATTTAACGTTTGAAAAAAGAAGTTAAACAAGAGTTTTAGATGGTCCATGGACATATGTGCTGAGCATTATAGTGGCCGACTATCGAAAGAAGGTCATCAGTGAGGTCACAAGTCCACCAGCCTCGTTATCGCTCACAGAATATGCTTAATCAGAACACTCAAATATCGGACGACTTTTTTATCATCTCGAAGGTCAGTTACGTTGCCGTTGGGAGGGGCAGCGTCTTGTGAATTTCAGGAAACGTTGATCTACATAAGAGGCAACTATAAGATTATGAAAGTCGTGTCCTGTGTCCTTTAAATAGTGGAACATTTCTTGAAGAATACACAAATTAAAAACTTCTAACTGTTAGTAAAGCCATGTCTCTTACAAGACTTTTGATTGTTCCAAGGTTTGTTATTGTCTTAAAACTTGTCAAATTATCTTTCAATGCGTCTTACGGCATGTAAATTGGTCTTGCAACATATCTATTATATAAAACTTCCAAATATCAACAAAAATTCAAATAGTGGCACGATTTAGAACATAAATGCACTGGACTTTCTTTAGAAATAATCAGATACATGAAATTTGATAGGCTCATTACAGCCCCCAATCTAGATTTTAGCAATTCTTTTAATCAATTGGGATTTCCCTCGGTCGCCCCCTAGGTTTCACAGTCTTGGCTCTTAACAACACTAACACGTCCTAGAAGGCCGAAACACCTGTATGATGCAGTTTAATACATTGTTTTTTCATTACTATCATTATAGATCTACATTGAAACGTGTTATTCGAATTTGAGCCTTTTGTCCAACCTAACTGCACTTGTCTAATTGTCTGGCAACGTTGTTCAATTGATACTGACTTAGAATGGTCTTTATTTCAAACCCTTACTAAATTGCTCTTGTTTTCATGTTGTCAATCAATGAAAAAAGCCCTGAATGAATTACAAAATAATATGTTTTTGCTATTGAGCAGTGCATAAAGGTATTTCGACAACGAAACATGACGAACATGCAAAAGCAATCTCCCAGTACATATGTGTGTATTCTCTTCACACCGATATTCAGATTCTACATCGTAAGTACCTGTGTGTGATTTTGCATAATATCATAAAATAAACTGGAATATTTAGAAATGATGTTACATGTATCAACATAACGTTTATACCTATATTTACCTGTAATAATAGCAACTTTATCCTTCAACGACTCCATTGGATTCTTAAGAAATGAAACACGTGCGACAACTGCTGGTCTTCTGGTTGAACGAGTTCCTAAGTCTCAAGACTACGATGACCTTCACTGGATACGACAGACAAGATAAAATTTGTTTTCTGATAGAGAGTCAGGAATGCGGTGTTAATGCAGAATGAATGCCTTATAGTTTGCTGACCTAGACGGTCACATCGAGATCCGAATTCATGACAAACAGTAAACTACTTGATATGCACGAACACAGAGTTAAATATTGCTTAAGAGTTTTTTATGAGTTTTTTAAATTATAATGTGATATTTAATACAAGTCGATTTTCATGCATCATTTCCATTTGAGCCGTACCTGGAGCTTATCGCCCCTATTGATTACTTACAATTGTTAATGCATTGGCATATTTAACGATAGTGGAACTTGTCAGTATGTTTTGCCAATCTTGTAAATGACTTTCAAAAAAAACAAATAAACAATTTTTACAACAATAACCACATGAGACACTGAGATGAGAGTTCATACAGAGATAATATGTTAAATACAGATCACCGTAGAGATTGCAGTAGTGTCACTACAGATTTTCAGAAGGAGGAAACGGTATAATACTCGGTCGAAAATTTTAGAAAAAAAAATAACAATATATATACTGATATGTATCTTTTTTTTTTTTTTTTAAATCAAAATCATATATATATATCTATATGTATTTAGATATTAATAATAGTTTTATCATGAAGAAATTATTGAGTGATTTATCTCGGTAAGTATATATATATATATATATTTATATGTCAGTAAGTTGATGTTATGTAGTGCATGTTGTAAACGTGATCACCTTTGATAAGACAGCTATGTACTTTTAGATCACATGTACTTTTAGATCACGCGTCAAATCGTGCCATCTTAAGGCGATATTGGTCTGTAATTGTAGGTAATACTTTATTCATTCTACTTTAAAAATAGGCATGACATGCCCAATTTATCATGCTCCAGGAAAAAATGCACAGGAAGAAAGTGAATAATCAAATAGATAATGGTACGGAAACTTCACTGGATATCATTTTAAGCATTTTATACCCAAGGGCAGCATGGCCTGTTGCTTTTTTATCATTTGATATATTAATAATTTGTAAAATTTCAATAAAAATCATCTTTATTTTAGACAAAGTGCAATCAGTACGAACGCCTTTCAAAAACTGGTTAATCTTAGAATTCATATTAAGTCATTTTCTGTAAAACAGATAAATAGATAGAGCTAATGAAATTCTTCAAAAAATTCATATTTTCAACGCTGTCCTTGCTTGATAATTTCATGTGAAATGCTGTCTAAGATAACGGATGGTGGATCAAGAGAGTAAATGAAAGGGAAAATAACCCCATAGAAGAACAGGACAATGGACAGAATGCGATCAGTTGGGTACAAAACGGAATAATAGTGGTCCGAAACAGCAATGAAGCATCGTGTTTGTTTCATGGAATACCTGGGAAGTTTTTAACATAAAAGTATATATACAGATATTGTATATATATATATGAATATACACGAATGTATATGTATGTTTCATTGTCGTTGATTCTGTCGTTGTAAACTTTGTTCTCATTTGAGAACGTGACATTACTAACTTTGTTTTGATGAAGAGTTACATGGCGGGTGTCGTCGATGAAGCAGAAGACGTTTACACTTCCGCAACACCTGATCTTATTCTCCTTGTACTTTTTTTTCAGTTTTCAGTCTCCTTGTAAATCTTTCGTTTATTCGCATTTAAACTAGTCTTATTGAATTTCTGTTTGGATTATGATTGTGTTGACATGTTTGTATTTTCTTTTTGTTTTTGGACTTTGTACATTAAGTGTTAGGAGGAAATTGGAGGTGAATATACACATAACATGAAGGTTCCTCTGAATCTAACACCAGACATAAGACACTTTCACAGATCCGATGACGTTCCTCACTTTAATTAAATATGTTAACATTCTCTTGTTCAATGCTCTTGAGAATAAAGTTACGACATTTTCAATCTTGTCACCTTTATCTCTCTTTTCTTCTGATCTTGCCTTCTCTTTTAGCTATTTGGTAATGTTTTCCAGTAAACCTCATGTATAGTAATAGTTATGTTTTTGGGTTATTTTAACAGTAAACACCCGCTGATATTTGTGTGAAAAGTACCCAATCTTTTCATAATTCGATAGCAACAAAAGTTGTTTAATCAAAGTAAATATTTTGATTACTTCTACAGTATTAAGTAATAACAGATATATTTTAGGAAAAACAAATGGTCCAATGATGCAACAGGTGAAGGTCCAGCCATTCCAGTCTGTCCAGTCTAGGTCCATGCTAATGTTAGAGTAGGAGAAGGCCCAGTCATTCCAGTCTAGGTCCAGGCTAATGTTAGAGTAGGAAAAGGCCCAGTCATTCCAGTCTAGGTCCAGGCTGATGTTACAGTAGGAGAAGATCCAGTCTGTCCAGTCTAGGTCCATGCTGATGTTACAGTAGGAGAAGGCCCAGTCATTCCAGTGTAGGTCCAGGCTGATGTTAGAGTAGAAGAAGGTCCAGTCATTCAAGTCTAGGTCCAGGCTGATGTTACAGTAGGAGAAGGCCAAGTCATTCCAGTGTAGGTCCAGGCTGATGTTACAGTAGGAGAAGGCCCAGTCACTCCAGTCTAGGTCCATTCTGATGTTACAGTAGGAGAAGGCCCAGTCATTCCAGTCTAGGTCCAGGCTAATGTTAGAGTAGGAGAAGATCCAGTCATTCCAGTCTAGGTCCAGGCTGATGTTACAGTAGGAGAAGGCCCAGTCATTCCAGTCTAGGTCCAGGCTGATGTTACAGTAGGAGAAGGTCCAGTCATTCCAGTCTAGGTCCAGGCTAATGTTACAGTAGGAGAAGGTCCAGTCATTCCAGTCTAGGTCCAGGCTGATGTTACAGTAGGAGAAGGTCCAGTCATTCCAGTCTAGGTCCAGGCTGATGTTACAGTAGGGGAAGGTCCAGTCATTCCAGTCTAGGTCCAGGTTGATGTTACGGTAGGAGAAGGCCCAGTCATTCCAGTCTAGGTCCAGGCTAATTTTACAGCAGGAGAAGGTCCAGTTATTCCAGTCATTCCAGTCTAGGTCCATGCTGATGTTAGAGTAGGAGAAGGCCCAGTCATTCCAGTCTAGGTCCAGGCTAATGTTAGAGTAGGAGAAGGCCCAGTCATTCCAGTCTAGGTCCAGGCTGATGTTACAGTAGGAGAAGATCCAGTCATTCCAGTCTAGGTCCAGGCTAATTTTACAGCAGGAGAAGGTCCAGTCATTCCAGTCTAAGTCCAGGCTGATGTTACAGTAGGAGAAGGTCCAGTCATTCCAGTCTAGGTCCAGTCTAGGTCCAGGCTAATGTTACAGTAGGAGAAGGCCCAGTCATTCCAGTCTAGGTCCAGTCTAGGTCCAGGCTAATGTTACAGTAGGAGAAGGCCCAGTCACTCCAGTCTAGGTCCAGGCTAATGTTACAGTAGGAGAAGGCCCAGTCATTCCAGTGTAGGTCCAGGCTGATGTTAGAGTAGAAGAAGGTCCAGTCATTCAAGTCTAGGTCCAGGCTGATGTTACAGTAGGAGAAGGCCAAGTCATTCCAGTGTAGGTCCAGGCTGATGTTACAGTAGGAGAAGGCCCAGTCACTCCAGTCTAGGTCCATTCTGATGTTACAGTAGGAGAAGGCCCAGTCATTCCAGTCTAGGTCCAGGCTAATGTTAGAGTAGGAGAAGGTCCAGTCATTCCAGTCTAGGTCCAGGCTGATGTTACAGTAGGAGAAGGCCCAGTCATTCCAGTCTAGGTCCAGGCTGATGTTACAGTAGGAGAAGGTCCAGTCATTCCAGTCTAGGTCCAGGCTGATGTTACAGTAGGAGAAGGTCCAGTCATTCCAGTCTAGGTCCAGGCTGATGTTACAGTAGGAGAAGGTCCAGTCATTCCAGCCTAGGTCCAGGCTAATGTTACAGTAGGAGAAGGTCCAGTCATTCCAGTCTAGGTCCAAGCTGATGTTACAGTAGGAGAAGGCCCAGTCATTCCAGTCTAGGTCCAGGCTAATGTTACAGCAGGAGAAGGCCCAGTTATTCCAGTCATTCCAGTCTAGGTCCAGGCTGATGTTACAGTAGAAGAAGGTCCAGTTATGCCAACCTGGCCAGCCCAGATCCAGGCTAATATTAAAGCAGGGGAAAGTCCTGTTAGCCCAGTCAATGTTCTTATACGTTGTCTCTCATACTCTTAATACTTCATACTTCAACGTTAAAGATTTTGTTTCAACATGTTTTTAAAATACAGCAATACATAATCGATAAACATATGGACATAATTTGACATTTCTGTTTGAAATTCAATTTATTTTCCTTTGGTATAACTTAATTTTTCCTAATCAAAACAATAGGTATATGATGTCTTTCATAATTCATATTTTCAAACTGTACATGCAGTCTCTCGTACTTAAACAAAATGAAATTTGCGCTTTAAATTTACAAAATAAAACTTTATTTTCAAAACTTGACTTTAAAATTGAAAATTATCTTAAAATTTTGTTTTTTAAACTTAAATTGTGCATTATAATTAAACTGAAATTTCATCACAACATGAATCTTTTCATGTTAAATCTTTAATACTTAAATTGTACTTTATTTTAAAACTTCGATTTTTATCTTTAAACAAATATTTTATTTTTAATAAGAGTTATTTTAACAATTAATTTCATTGCACTTGACTTGAAAACTTTAATTTTAATCTTTAAAAATGATTTTAAATAAGACCTATATGAAACGGAAAATACTTAAAACATAATTCAAATCATTTCGGTTTTACATATATATTTTATATATAAAATTTGGATTTCTATGAATGTTTTTAAAGCGGAGAGAGACTAAAAAGTTTTACCATATTTTGCATGACGCCGTCTGTCTGACATTTACGATGAATATTTGTAAATGTACACTTGTATTTTATTTAATTCTATGATGACCGAGAGCGCGCTTATTGTAACGATTCAGTAAGAACCAGCGGTTGTCATCGT